CTAAGGATATAAATTCTCCCAGCAGAAAATTTTCAATAAGTGTACTATTTTATCTTCTTGTTAAAAAAAAATCAGAAATTACTGGTTCTAGCATATTTCTGGGTAGCGTTAAGTCCAAATTTAGTGTTTTCGTATTTAATGGTCGAGGTTGTAAAAAGTTCGGCCCGCCATTCTTTGTTTATACCCTGCACCATACATAGTATGATGGGTATATTAAGTTCCTAATTCCATTTGTAACATATCGAAATAATAATTTTAAACAGTATCCCCCCGATTTATCCTAGTCCGTCTATTGTAATCACGCTAAAGTTAAAACGAATAAAGATAGGAAGCTAAAGCATAAATCTGTCCTTTGTCTGCAGGCTGGTCAAGTTCGAAGACGGCCAATATCGGTCCACGATATTGTATAGCCCCCATTTAACGGTACCCCCGATATTTGGTATTTTGATGATTTTAGCCACATTTTTAAACGGAAATGTCTGAAAATTGACCCAACGGGTTCCTTGTAAGTACTTTATCCCTAAGAAGAAAATTGTCTATATATGTTAACGATATCGTATAGCGCCCATGTAGCGGTACCCCCGATATTCTGTATCCTGATGATTTCAGACAAATTTTTAAATGAAATTGTCTGAAAATGCACACAAGGGGTTCCTCCTGAGCACTTTACCCCCTAGAAGAAAGTTTTCTACATAGGTCCACGTTTTATTATAACGCGTATATAACAGTAACTCCATAACGGTTCATTATTTTTGCGACATTATTCAAATTTCGTATTTGAAGTTCTGAACCGTTACTACAGCCTATGACAAAAACTACTTATGCAGGACCACGTCTTCGTATAACCCCAAACGTCTTCGTATAACCCCACACGTCTTCGTATAATCATTTGAGCGAAATTTTTCGACGGAACTTTTTTGAAATATATCAAGTTTCTTCCAAATGGTAGAGGGTATACAAAGTTCCAAAGAAAGGACCCTTCCAATGTGAAACAAAATAGAAATTTTTGGCATAGCAATTTTTTCTTGGAAGGGGTACTCTTCCACTGCAAAAAGTTAAGTGACGTTATTCAACAAACATAACTCAAAAATAAAATTTTAGGTTCAAGAGGGTAGCAAACTGTTTTCCAAATTATCTCCACATGAAATCGGGATGATGTTCAAATATAAATATTTCGATGGATGTATTCGTATTAATACAGTTCGAAGCTTAAACTTTCAGTTGGGCGATGGAGAAACTTTTTGATTCTTTTTTAGTAGATCCAAGCTCTGATAAGAAATATAGCCCTTTTTTGCTATTTATTGTCTAAATAGCCGAAATATATTTTTTTACTTAGGAAGAACCCTACATTCCTGAGAGCTCTGAAAACTATCAAGCTATCCTCAGAGATGTCTAAGTATAGACTTTTTGTGGCAATGTTAATTAAAGCTTTTTTTCGTGATTTGGCATTGGATCGTATAAGTAACAATATTTCTCGATATTAGTATTACATATACTCTCACTATGAGTTAGTGGACAATTTGCAGACCCATAAAAAGCTTATTTTTTATTATATTTTTTCCCCATTTTTTATCCTATGATTTTTGGTAATTAATACGATTGATTTTTCATATAAATCATATTTTCTGAAATGTACCATATTCCTTTTATGAATTATTATTGCTCATGCCTCATCCAATCCTGAAATTTTTAAACCAACCTCGTTCAGACACAAAACTGTAACTCTCAAAATGCGTGTCATGAGTTTGTTAAGTAATTGTCTGAATGCGTGTTGAGTTATTATATATTTTTTTGTTCGTTCGTTCATTTTCTTCTTCACCTTCTCTTTCTCCTTCGTCTTCGTCTTCGTCCTCTTCAAAATTGCCATTACGAGCAATGTAATGTTTATATAGGAGCCATTAACACATTAGCGAGACAGTAGAATATGACCCAGCTGGCACACACCGACGACATCAATTCGACAATGAATGGCGACTTACCCAACTGTTGCCCCGTTAAACGAGCCCATTTCAGTGTACCACCGTTTTGTCATTACTTTGGCAGCAGCAACAGCAAAAAAAGTCACTAGCCTTTTTCAAACTCAACCCGCAACCGTACCACACACACCCACATATGGATGTGAGCACTCAAACACACACACGTACACTCGCATAAATACTGTAAAAATTTGCCTTTGTAATGGATTTTTTTCTTTTTTTTTTGTTTTGCAAAATTTATCGCATAACTTATGGCAGAAGAGAGGTCCTTTCAATGATGCTTTACACACACTCATTATTCACGTACCATCCATGTGTGTGTGTGTACATTCACATGTACAAATGTGTACTTGGGGTATTTGTTTTTCCTACTCCCAAAAGCAAACAACAACCAGTCAGTATGTCAGCCGGTCTTTCGCTCTCTAATTAGGAATTTTTGTGAATATTACAAACTGCCCCCAACTCAAACACACACAGAGGCACACTCTTCCCCACTCCTCCCCCAAACAAACATTTCACTTCAATTTGCTGGCTGTTTAATCAAAAGTCAAAGCGTAGGCAAAACAAAGCGACCTTTTAAACAAAAACGTAAAATTTTTAACAAGGGTTAGGTTCAGTCTGTTCCGTGTTTTTTGTTTTTAATTTATTCATTTGTTTAAGGACGCACACACACACTCACACTCTCACGCTGTACATCGAGTAGCTTGGCTTTTGGCCTTTTATCCCACCTAGAAATTCTAGGAAATTCATATCAATAATACTTGATTTGTTGGTATGCCAGCGGGGTTGACGTTCAGCTAACTAACATCTCGGTGAGTAGTTCAACCGGCTAAGCAGCCAGGTGGGGGTGGGTGACCGACCATTTCAACTCTTTACTCTCAATATGCAAATAATGTTATTGTTGTTGTTATTTCTGCCTTTCCTCTCCTCTCAAACACAAAAACATTTTAAAATCCCGACATCCTGGTTAGGGGGTGGGGACGGTGAATCTATGCGAACGATCAAAGAAGAAGAAAGAAAGGCGAAAGGGAAGAGTGAGAGGTTATGTGTGAATAAGCTGTTGAAAAGTTTCTCTAACAAAAACGACAACATCAACAACAACAACATCAACTTCACAAGAAACGCAAATATGAATCCTAACAAACTTGACCCCTGCCATTAGTTGCTGCCGGTGGATGGGCAAAAAAATGAAAAGTTTACAATCGACACGAGTAAAGAAAGTATTCCACGACGACCTTGAAAAATCTGTGAATGGCAAAAGAGGTGGTGGTTGCTTCCCAGCAGAGGGTGGTTGTATTTGCAAGCAGGGGTGTGGGTGTGTGTTCACATGATAAACACTTACCTTATTCAATATACCTATATTTGTTTGGGTTTCTCAAAGTCTACAACTACTGACAACTTGTCAGTGCTCTTTGGCAAACGAGAACGAAAATAAAAAGAATCTCTTCTCTTATCTTTGTCAGTTTGCATGGATTTCAAATTTGACTTTTTTTGAGGAAATACAAACACGTTTTCGAACTAATGAGACTGAGAGACATTCATATTTGCTTAGGTCATAGAAGAAATTTTTCTGAATAAAGGTTACGGGGTCAAGGTCATGTTTAAGGTGTAGGAAATGGGAAGATATGATTATTTAAATGGAAAAATTTTATTTTTTTTAACTTTAAGAGAATCTGGGAACTTACAAAAGACCTGTTCCTTAAGGTATCTTTGGGATTTTTTTTCACCAAAACTCCGTCTGTTGTAATCACGCCAGAGTCAAAAGAAATTAAGATAGAAAGCTAAAATTTTGCACAGATCAGTCTTTTCTCTGCAGGCAGGTCAAGATCGAAGATGTTCGGTCCACTAGATTGTATAGCCCCCATATAATGGTTCCCCCGGTATTCGGTATTTTGATGATTTTAGCCACATTTTTTCAATGGAATTGTGGGAAATTGAATACAAGGAGTACTTTGTGAGTACTTTAACCCCTGATAGTATTGTCACTATTGGTCCATGATATCGTATATCCCCCATATAACAGTACCTCCCTATATTCGGTATTTTCATGATTTTAGCCACATTTTCTAATGGAATTGTTTGGAAGTCCACACATGGAGTTCCTTCTGAATACTTTACTGCCTGGAAGAGAATTGTCTATATAGGTCTACGATATCGTATAGCCCCCATACAACGGTACCACCCGACATTCGGAATTTTGGTGATTTTAGCGACATTTTTTACCGGAGTTATTTCAAATTTCGTATTTGAAGTTCGTAATGGATACTACAGCCTATAACAGAAAATTCTCTGTGCTGGTTCACGTATTAGTAAAGCCCCCATATAGCGGTACCTTCGATATTCGACATTTTGAAGATTTTAGCAACATTTTTTATCGGAATTGTTTCAAATTTCGTACTTGAAGCTCGTAATGGGTATTTCAACCTATGACGGAAAATTTCCTATATAGGTCTACGTCTTCATATAGCCCCCATACAACGGTACCTCCCGATATTCGATATGTTGATGATCTTAGGGGCATTATTCGCGAAATTGTTTCAAATTTCGTATTTGAAGATCGTACTAAGTATTACAGCCTATGACAAAAAATTACTTATGCAGGTCCAAATTTTCATATAAACCCATATAACGATACCTCCCGATATTCTATTACTATGTAGACCTACGACTTCGAAAAGCCCCTATATATCCGATTTCCATTGGGCGGTATTTTTCGACCAAATTTTTTTAAAAAGTCTATAATTTTTATGTAGTTCTTTAAAAATGGTGGAGGATGAAGGTTATTTTTTTACCTATTATTTCCATATTTCTAATAGTTTACAAATGTTCTGTTACAGAGCCCGATATCATTATCGTAGTAAAATTTTCTACATTTTGACAGTTATGGAACAGAGCAATTGAGTATTCTGCCTGTGGAAGGTGATTCATTAGAATCCTATAAATCTAAAATTTTAACTATCTATGCCCCTTTAAACCTCTTAAATTAACCCCAAATCTCTTTTTCTTCTCCCCTTCTCGTTACAGGCGTTTACATCCTGACATTGCTCGCCAACATCCCCAAGACCAATCGAGAATATGCAGCAATCCAACGAACAAAGAACTCAACCTCAACACAGGCTAAATGCCAAAAGCCAACAACAGCAACAACAACGCAACATTCCAACACTCCGCCACTTTGGTCAACTACTTGTCATGTTCCTTATTATGAGCCTTCAAGTTACGGATGTTGTGGCCAAGGTCAAGACGAAAAAGAATTCCAACATTCACTTCAGCAATGAGGATAATTTGAAATCGCCCACAGAGGGACAACATTTTGCCATGGAACCGCAGGATCAAACGGCGGTGGTGGGTTCACGTGTTACCTTACCCTGTAGGGTAATGGATAAAGTGGGTGCCCTGCAATGGACCAAGGATGATTTTGGTTTGGGTCAACATCGTAATCTGAGTGGTTTCGAACGCTACTCCATGGTGGGCAGTGATGAAGAGGGTGATTTCTCTTTGGATATTTTTCCCGTCATGCTGGACGACGATGCTCGTTATCAGTGTCAGGTGGGACCGGGTCCAAATGGTGAGGCTGGCATTAGGTCAAGATTTGCCAAAATCACCATATTGGTGCCGCCAGAGGCACCGAAAATCCTGCAGGGCGATCATTTGGTCACAACGGAAGATCGTGAAATAGAACTGGAATGTGTGTCGGTAGGTGGAAAACCGGCGGCAGAGGTAAGTTCCACATCTCTTTAGACACTCCACTTTTGCATTCCTTATTAATATGTCCTGTTTTGAATAGATCACCTGGATTGATGGTTTGGGTAATGTCCTGACCAAAGGCATTGAAGATGTCAAGGAGCCTTTGGCCGATGCCCGCCGGGTCACAGCCAAATCCATTTTGAAGTTGACTCCCAAGAAGGAACATCACAACACCACATTTACATGCCAGGCTCAGAATACGGCAGATCGCACCTATAGATCGGCAAAAATTCTTTTGGAAGTGAAATATGCTCCCAAGGTTACCGTATCAGTTGTGGGCGGAGCATTGGCCGGTGGTCGAATTCCGGAAGGTGCTGAAGTTATACTCTCCTGCCAGGCTGATGCCAATCCTCCCGTCCAGTCCTATCGTTGGTTTATCAATGATGAACTGGTAACAGGAGATTATACCACACGCATGGTTATACACAATGTGTCGCGTCAATATCACGATGCAATTGTCAAGTGTGAGGTGGTAAATGCGGTGGGCAAAAGTGAGGAAAGCGAGACATTGGATATAAGTTGTAAGTATTAATGAAACAAAATGAAGGAGTGGGATTTACTCACATTTTCTTTTGGTTTATTTCAGATGGTCCTGCCTTCCGCCAAAGACCCAATTCCGTTGAGGCCGATTTGGGCACCACTGTCACCATGAAATGTGATGTCGATGGCAATCCACCGCCAGAAATTGAATGGATAAATGAAAATTCCGAACGTGTGGTAGGCACATCGGCCAATCTAACTCTGAAAGTTTCCAGCGAAACAGCTGGCCGCTATTATTGCAAAGCCGTGGTGGATGGTTTCCCTGAAATTGGTGCAGAGGCCACAATCTATGTTAAACGTGCCCCCATTATCACCTCCCACAAAGTCCAATTTGGAGCTGTAGGCAATCGTGCCAAAATCGATTGTTTGGCCTTTAGCATACCCAAGGCTGATAAGATTTTATGGTCCTATGAGGGAAAAATCATCAATATGTCAACGGCAGATCCCGATTTGTATATATTCGAGGAGCACCACTTGCCCGAGGGTGTCAGGGCGGCTTTGATTATCAAGGAAAGTCGTTCGAATCATTTCGGCAAATATAATTGTACAGTTGTTAATTCATATGGCAGCGATTCGTTGCTAATCACCTTAATACCCGAACGTAAGTATAGGGATGCGCATACATTCATCTAAAGGATATTCTAACAGTTTTTTGTTTTCTTTTTCCCCTTTTAAAGCAGCTGGTTCTGTACCCGTCCTTTTGGTGGTCATGGGCTCCATGTCCTCAGTGGCCATTATCCTAATGGTTGTGATGCTAGTGATTGTTTATATGAAACGTAACAAAAAGAAGCCCATGCCAGCCGATGTTATACCCGAAGCCTCTCGGGGTGGTGATAAGTTGAGTGACTTGAAGAATGAGATGCGTGCCAAGGCCTATGAAGCTGCCGAATATACCGAATCCAGCTCAGATGGTTTGGCTATTAATCTAACGCACTCACCCATGCCCGATGTACAAATGAAGGGGGCCACATTGGGTGTACCTTTGGCGGGACCCGTCAAACTGGATGAGAGGTAGGGTTTTGCAGCAATTATTTAAAAAACATAATATTCTAATGGGGTTTCGATCTATTGCAGATTTTCCGGTGATTTTGGTGATCGCTATAATCGCAACATCAAGAACATTAAAAATAATCAAGACTACAAAGACTCGGCCAATGGCTATCCCTATTTCGAGTATGCCTTGGACTATAGCCCTCCCAATGACAACAAGAGTTCTGTGGGTTCGGTGTCCAAGAGTAATTCGACCACCATTAGTTCGGCCACCTTGCCGCATTACTCAAATCCAGCCACCACAACGGGGAATATGAGTTTGCCCAGAAACCGCAGTGATATGCAACAACAGCAGCAGCATCAGCAACAGCTAAATAATGGATTCTTAGGTAAGACCGAGGAATTAACTCCACAATTACATGGTCACTAATGTTTTTCTTCTTCGCAGGTCAACCATTATTACAGAACGGCATCGATAGCCGTTTCAGTGCCATCTATGGAAATCCCTATCTGCGTACCAATTCCTCCATACTCCCACCTCTGCCGCCACCCAGCACAGCGAACCCAGCGGCAACACCAGCACCACCGCCTTACCATGCGCCCCGCAATCACATGAACACCATGGCCAATGGTGGTGTAATGGGCAGTCTCAAGAATTTCGGCACACCCAGCAGCATCATCAGCGGCCACAATGGTCCGGCCAGTGTCAGCGGTAGCAGTTCAAATCTAACAGCCAGCAGCAATACGCTGGCAGCCACTCCACTAGCTGCCCAGGTGGGTACACCCTCCAGCGTGGTGGCAGCTGTGGGTGTTGGAAACAATGCCGCCGCCACAACAGTCCAAAGTCCATCGGGGCAATTTATTTTACCCTCAAATGGCAATGTCACAAAGAAGGGAGCCCTGGCAACCCATGTCTAAATTAAGCGCACAAAAACAACAGCAACAAACAAAACGAACGAACGAATTCAAATTAAACGAATTACCGTTATGGCAAGTTAAAGTGAAAATGCTAACATAGCGGCAATGTTCAACGAGCAAGACATACAAACAGACCGGAAGAGAGGAAGATGGAAAAAACAACATATTGTGATTTTTAGTGTTAATTATTTACCTAATGGCAACTCTAAGCGCAAACAGAAGAAAAACAACAAAACGAAAGAAATACTGAAAACATACAAACAGCCAAACAGGGTGTTGCATTCTCCATGCCAAAAGAAAAACCGACTGCACTAAGGGGATTATGTGTGAATGTATGTACAGATGTGTGTGTCGTTGTAATGGCGAGAATGCAACAATGGTTGCAAATGTCAGAATCAACTGTGTGTGGTTGTTAGTATTTGCATTTTTATTAGAATCATTATTGTTAGTAAAGTTATGAGAGAAGATGAGGAGAAGGAGGAAGAAGGCGAAAACGATGTCTAAGGCGGGTAGGGGAACCAGAGATACCTACTTGTAGAGATTTGCATAAAGAGAGGTGGCACCTTTCATGTGTATATTTTTTGCAGGACTAAGAAACTCTTTCTTGTTTCCTTTAACTATACAGGATGTCGTCGTAAAAGAACACTTTCAAGTAATTATGTACTTAAATTACGTATATATTCCGACTTACACAAAACAATCATGTAACAATAAGAATTCAAATTTACTTTGTTGAAGTTGTATAAGAACTGACCTTTTTGAAATATTTCTAAAATGTGGCAAAGACAAAGAAATATAAGGTGGGACATTGCAGAGTCAAAATATTAAAGTAGAACTACCAGCTGGTTACAATTTCTTAGTGTGGCCGACATCTGCCAAATTTGTGTATGTGTTTATTGTTTTGAAAAATAACAAGTAAAAATGAGCTAAGTTCGGTCAGGTCGAACTTTTTTACCCTTCACCACTAGGAACTTGAAAAATTAAAATAAAATGCCGTTGAAAAATATCGCTCAAATGAAAACCCTTATATGGGACTATACGAATACGTGTTGCTGGATAAGCAATATTTGTCGTAGGCTATAGTAACGATTCCGAACTTCAAATACGAAATTCTAAACAATTCCGATAAATAATATCTCTAATATCATCAAAATACCGAATAAAGGGACGGTTTCATTGCATGGGGGCTATTCTAAGACGTGGACCTGCATAGACAATTTTGTAGTACCCATTACGAATATATGAAATTTGACGAAATTCCGGTGAATAATGTCGTGACAATTCCCCTCTTCCAGGGAGTAAAGTATTCAGAGGAAACTCCTTGTGTGGATTTTCCGAATATTCCATTAAAAAATGTGCCTTAAAAATGTACCAAAATACAGAATGTCGGAGGTACAATTATATGGGAGCTATACAATATCGTGGACCTATATAGAAAATTATCTTTCAGGGGGTAAAGTACTCGCAGAGAACTCTTCGTGTAGAATTTCAGAACACTCCATTAAACAATGTAGCTAAAATCATGAAAATACCGAATGTTGAGAGGTACAGTTTTATAGGGGCTATACGATATTGTAGACCTATAGAGACAATTCTCTTTCAGGGGGTAAATTACTCATACTCCTTGCGTAGCATTTCAGACGATGCCATTAAAAAATTGGGCTAAAACCATAAAAATATCGAATATCAAGAGGTACAGTTACATGGGGGATATACGATGTGGTGGACCAAGTAGCCACGAAGAAATCCTTGTGTAGAATTTCAGACAATTCCATTAAAAAATGTGACTAAAATCATCAAAATACCGAATGTCGGAAGGTACAGCTATCGTATATATACCGTATGGAGGAGAGTATAAAAAAATATTTTCAAAATCAATGATTGGAAAAAACGTAAAATTTTCAATAATTCTGACAGGAAGCGGGCTTAGCCTCAGGGTGTATTTTTGTAGGTTTACGAGGCTGTTCTACCTCCTTATTGTATCATGATTGGAAGTATATAAATGGATATTTAATTATCGACATGACATATATTCGAAAAAATATTCCAAGTCCATGGTATAAGAATGTACGGTAGCAACAAGCATTGTACAAAAATTTACACCGTCAGCACCTGATATTACCTTGTAACAAATATACCATGTCCCAACCATGGTAGAAGAAAAATACAGGTAGATGCATCAACGCTTGGCAACATTGATATGTCTTTTTTTTCAAAAATAAGTATATTTTTATAAGTTCCAGTCGGAGGTTCTTGTGATATGTATTTTCAACAACTTTTACAAATTTAAATAATTTTTCATTCAATATTTTCAATTTCAAAATTGGTTTGACAGTTTATTGTTCTGTATTCTTCTGCAATCTCAACAATTCTAAATAATTCCATTACTTCTTTTGACACCCTGTAATTTCAAAAAGAAAAATTCTTCAACAAAGACAAATATCAACCCCAATCTCAAAGATCCTTAATCCAAACAATATTGCAGGTTCCTTCTTTGCAGGTAATAGTTTGTTGGTATGTCGCCTAATAATATGTACAAGTACTTTTCAACACCGTCTTCAGCGTCATCATCATCGTTGTCGTCGTCGTCCACCTCCTTCTCCTCTTCTTTATCATTAACATGGCCATCATATATGTTTAAGCATGTTCATGTAATTGTCGAGTATGCATATATTCTTCATAATATACTTAAAGAACGAATGCAGTAAAAAAAGAAGAAAAATACTAAGACCCACTACCTACCCACTTACTATATATATATAAATATATTCTCTTTAAGCCTAAGTCGCCTGTAGTTAGTTCTTTTTCATGTAAATTATATACATACACAACTATACATAAATTACATATACATAATATAAATATATATACATACTAATGATATCCCCTACAATTAAGTATATAACAAACGGACAAACGAACGGACATTACACGGTGCAACAACGAAAAACCGGGACAAAAAAATACTTTCAAAGTGGTTTAGTCAAAAACTGTGGGTATTCAGATTTGGGATTTGAGCTCTAGACCTGGTTTATTCACCAATGTTTATTTATGAAAATATCCATTCATTGTATTTTGTATGCGTTAAAACGGATAATAATGCAACCAAACTCTTGAAAACACTTGCATTTAAAATTTGATATGTTCGAATTGTAATTGACAGATAATTCACTGGATTTCGTATACATTGACATTTGACATTGATTTGTAAAAGTATGTTTACATACAGGGTTAGATAAAAAAAAGCTGCAACAAAGTCAAACGCCATAACTTTTACATTTTTTTAATTTATTTTTTAAACCTTTGGCACGAATTGGCCTTCAAAAGGCCAATGAAACCGTCACACGCTGCCCGAATGTTGCTCTGCTGTATTTTGCCTATTCCCGGCGTAGCGCTTGCTCGAGGTGATCGTCACTTTGGTATTTTTTAGTGCCATCCTTGCTTTCCAAAATACTCCAGACACAATAGTCCAATGGATTGGTATCCGGAGATTTTGGTGGTCATTGTGCGCTGGAATTGAATAAATCATCCGGAATATTTTCGTGATAATGTTATGGCAAATCACAAAATCACCATGGCCGACGCTTGAGTTCTGGTAGCCAACCAAAGGTGCACGTTTTCAGCTGGCATCTTTGGCAAGTAAACACGATCATTTTGTTTGTTTACAAACTGCTGGCCAACGAATGTTTTCTCATCGGAGAAATCCAAATTCGGCAGTTCACCACATTCGGCCAAGCGAAGCAACTCTTTAGCTCTTTTGAGTCTATTTTCTTTCTGTTGCGGTGTAAGTTCCCGAACTTTTTGGAATTTCAATGGCATTACCCCGAGCTCATTTTTTGAATATTTGCCGAATGGAATATTGCGATATGTTCAGCTCACGAGCCATTTTTCGGCCACTGCGACGCGGGTTACGATCAAGTCGCTTCTTTACTTTGGTGAAATTCGGTTCAGAAATGGCTATAGCAAATTTGGAACCAGATATCTTATTGAGCTCGAAAATACCTTTGACAAATTTTAACGAGATTGGCTCAAAATTGGGTATAGCTCCCATATATATCCTCATTGCGATTTCAGGTTTATTTTGCAAATAATGGCTAATATCAGTCCATATGGGATAAATTTCAGATATACTTTTCCATTTCCAATATAATCCTTCTTGAAGCGATATCATGCTCCCTAAAGCAATGATAAAAATGTCTCCGTCAAATTTATTGATTCAGAATTGGATATGCCTCCCATTTATTAGTTCCCCCTGAAACCAAATTATAACTGCTCTAAAGCCAATGGTTGAGAGGTGGTATGATCTTCTTCAAATAAATTCTTTTGCTATGGGAGCTCTACTAATCATGCATAGTGGTCATATAGTCGACCGCGCCTGACTTTTCCTTTTCCACAATTTTCATTGCATAAGTCTCAAATATAAACAAAGCCTACTGCTTGAATACTCTCCATTTTTTGGACAACGATAATACCACTTTCAAAGTTATTTATAATTTTTTGTGTTGCACCGTCTAACATTTAATTATATACAAAAAAAAAACAAAAATCCCCTAGCAAAACAAACATTAGACAAAAAACTAAAAAAAAACCATAACTTTATAAGCCAAAATTTCCAATTCGATTTAAATTTAAAAGAAAAGAAAAACTAAATTATTTATTATTTAATATATTCATAAATAGTTATTTAAGTAAGATTTTAATTAAGTAAATGAATATAAGATAAAAAACAAACAACTTTTAAATTAAATTATTTATAAACGCTTAAAACAACCATTCAAACAAACCAACCAACCCTAATGTAAAAAACATATTAGACTCTAATATACGCTTTTAAAAGAATAAACAAAATACTAGTTATAAATAAATAAAGTCGATCTGAAAATCTAAAACAAAACAAAAAAATTGCCCTGTATCTAGAAAAAAGAAATGGACGAAGACAAGGGGGGGTTTATTGGCAATGAAGGTGAGATGCAATATTTCAACCATGACCACCGAAAGAGTAAAAGTCGAAGTACATAAAAAGCTTGAAGTCATGGCTAGGTATATTAATGTAAAATTATAATGGAAAATGATGGCAGAATTTTAGTGCGGCTCTGTAATCCCTTTATAAAATGTCATAAAATATGCCTTGTCATGACTTTAAGCTTCTTATGTACTTACACCCTAAGGAAGAAGTTTAAGATACATAACCAGCTTGGAATCACCGCATGGTATATTAATGTCAAATTATAATGAATAACGATGGCAGAATTCGAATGCGACATTCCTTTATAATGTCTTACTTAATATACCATGCGACAGTGCCACGCTGCTTATGTATTCTCACATTTGAAATCGATTTTTTATCATAATCCATTTAATATTATCAATTTGACGTATATTTTCATACATTTTATGTCGAGGTACTTAACCGAAATGTAAATAAAAAATGTAAGCATGGCCTGAACTTAATTGGTTGAAGCGATGCATCACATCTTCCTTGACACTTTTTGCTCCTACAAACCAATACATTGTGCAAATGATTATAATCAAATTCTACATTATTAGCTGAAAGTTTTTTTTTAGAATAAACCAAAAATTCAAATGCAGTTTAAGGATTTATTCATTCTGTGGATTGGATAGAAACTTTTAGAAAAGTAAAAAAATCGAAACGAATGTATGCATGAAAGATGATAGTAATACGTTAAATATTGCTGCCTTATTCCTTGTAAAAAAAAAACGAAGAAAAACTAAAACAATGACACAAAATCATTTACACACATACATACGTACACATTAGCATATACATACAATTGACATTTATTTTCATTTCAAATATTTCGATTTGTTTTCGCAAAATTACGATTAGGTATTTATTTGATCAACCAAAACAGCTACAAATCAACATAACCCAAACACAACAAACATTTCACACAACGTTTTTTACCTATTGTATTTTTTCTAATTCTATGTAATTATTCTTTTCACTTTACTTTTTTCATAAACAAAACCAGAATACAAATGCTATTTGTAATTTTATCTCTTAGATAATTATTTCCTTTTTTGTCGAAATTATTAAAAAATGGTGTTAAAAGATAACGAAGAAGAGAAAACCTACAAAAAACAACTCATTAAGAAAATATTTGAAATAAACGAAAAAAAATATTTAAAAGTATAAGAAAATTGTGTTTTTTTACTGCAAATGCTGCACTACTAGGTGATTCTTTTGTATACAGTATCTGTAAAGTTCTCTAAGTATCCTAAGCTACAAATTTATAATCATCAGTGTATCTTGATTTTAGTTATCACTCAACCAACTAATTTGTCCTAAGGAATATATTCGTACAAACATTCTATTCGGCCGAATCCCAAGCCTTGCACAGAGTGGTTGTAGTCTGTACTCAATGGATTGTAACAATTGCCAAATCTGTACATATACAAACCGTCCTTATTTAAAACGGGTGTAGTTGGCAACACACATAAGACTTATCGATTACCACCAGTGTTGCCGTTTTGGGCGTTTCCGTCCAAATATGGGCGGAAGAAAGATAAATTTTGTGGTTTGGGCGGATTTTTTCCATATTGGGTACAAATTTATTTTTCATTGTTTATTTTTACGCAATTTAATTTTTTTATTGCTAACTGAATTTTATATTTTTTTATTGAGATGAATCGTTATTTATTTTATAGAGTTTTGTTAAGTTTTTTAATAATATATATAATACATTAGGCTAAAGTCGTGAAGGGCCGACCATGTGATACCCTACAACACTACAATATGTTAGAAGCCCCCTCATGTCCAAATCCATTTTGGAAGATTTCGCTTTTGAAATTATGTCACGGAGCATTGCCCAGATATTACCCTTAGCATTTTGACCAGGGACATTTTCCCAATATTTATGCACTCCGTCGAGCTGTTAGTTTTTGTGTTCCATTTTACGGCTAAATATATTCCAATGGTCATCCAAAATGCCAGAATTCTTCCCTGTGCTTACCTATTTTCTCAGGCGTGTCGATTGGCTTCAATTGTGTGATCAGGAATTTTTTTTTCTGGTTTTGGTTCATTTAAACCCCTAAATATTTTACGATCATCTCCAAATGCAAGAGGCCCCTCTGTGTCTCCAAATTTAGACTCATCTATATGATTTTCTTGTCTACGATATTTGGCTATATTCGTCAACGAAAGCAGTAAGTTCGGCCGGGCCGAACTTTGAATACCCTCCACCATTTGGAACGAATTAGAAAATATTCAAAAAAATAAAATCCATTGAAAATTCTATTAAAATCTTTAAAATACCTAATATCGGAAGGTGCCGATATATGGGGGCACCATATATATATGGACCTTTATAGATAATTCTCTGCCGAGGTATAAAGTACCCACAAGAAATTACTTGTGTGGATTTTCAGACAATTCCATTGAAAAATGTGGCTAACATCATCAAAATACCGAATATCGGGGGTACCGTTATATGGGGGCTATACGATATCGTGTACCGATATACCCCATCTTCGAACTTGACCTGCCTGCAGACAAAAGAGAGATCTGTGCAAAATTTTAGCTTCCTATCATAATTCGTTTAGACTGTAGCGTGATTACAACAGACGGACGGACGGGCAGACGGACGGACGGACAGGGCTAAATCGTCTTAGAATTTTACGCTGATCAACAATATATATACTTTGTTGGGTCTAAAATGATTATTTCGATGAGTTACAAACGGAATGACGAACTTAATATACCCTCCATACTTTTTTTGGTGGAGGGTATAAAAACCAGAAGTTCGCCTATTGTGTATCGCCTGTAAGTAATGTTGGTATTTTTTTTCACAAAAATAGTGGTCCATTATACCCGTTGTCCTAAGCTCTAACTTCATGCGAGATTTCGTGTCCTTAGGTTTATATTTGGGACCTTTATAACGGCTGCAAAATCAGGAACATTTTGAGTTGCTGGTCCATTTCAACCCTTAAATATATTGCGGACATCTTTGAAAACAATAGGCCTTGCCCTTCTGAGCCTAACCCTTGTGAAAAATTTCGTGAGGATCGAACGATAATTGCAATCTGTATATAAATAATAACCCTAACCTGTGTTGTATTATAAGTCAAATTGAAAAAATCGCATGCGATAAAAAATGAGAAAAAATAAAAAAATTTCACAAAATACTACAAAATCTATATGAACATTATTATTGGTATCTTTTTATGCGATTTTTTAGTATTTATACTTAATTGCCACAAGGGCAATTGACAACATTTGTCAAAATCGCTCCAGCCATTCTGAAGATATAGGCATTCTAGCTGACATCCCCTTCCTTTGTATATATACATTGTATATATTTCTCTATATATATCCGATATTTTACTATCGGCATCTACGTAACGGTCAGAATTGACCTGTTCGTCTATTTGTGATTTCGCCGGCAGTAAAAATATTCGCGGATTAATGGAAAAATTTACTTTTATTTATCGCAAATGCTATGGTCTACTAAATCACTAAATATTACCCGATGACCATTAAAATTGGAAGGCTTCTGCCCAGTCCAAAGCTCTAGCCCCATGCTAATTGTGACCTGTAGAGCAACTGCAAAATCAGGAAATTTTTCAGTTTTTGGTCCTAAATATTATGCGATCATCTCCAAAAGAAATAGGGTTCTATTCTGACCTTAACCCCAGCTACATTCTAAATTTCGTGAAGATCGGTCCATAATTGCGACCTGTAGAGTGATTACAAATTTACATGGACGGACGGACATACATAGCTATATCGACGCAGCTCGGCGAGATAGGAAGATCCGTATATACTTTCCTAAGTGGGAAACCAATATTTCGGGAAACCAACACATAGTGTTGTAGGGTATAAAAACCTGAATAATAATAATGACTTTAATGTATTTAATACATTGAATTCTTGTATTATGTTACTTTTTCAAATATATATTATAAAAATAAAAAAAAATTGAAGTAAAATAACATACAATTTTTATTTTCTCTAATGTATTTAATACATTGAATGTAATAAAACTTGAGTACCTTTTTTATGTATAGTGTAAAATTTTCAATAAAATTTACTTGAATACAAACTACATATAAATTATTCAACTTTTTACAGTTTGGGCGGATATGGTCGATTTTGGGCGGTTTTTAGAAAAAATTTGGGCTGAAATAAAGATTTCAAACGGCAACACTGATTACCACACTATGACAATACGGCGAATTTAATTTATTTGGAGATTGAGGCAATTTTGTAATGTCCCTGTAGGAAATGTCAATTGAATTATTATCGTCATGGTTTGCTTTGTCACCAGCACTACTGATCATGGCCTATTTAATAAGGCCATACAGAAGGCGAATTAGGGACTTAATCTTCTTTTGATATCAAACTTGTTCATTGGACATATACAAATCAGCGATGGGAACATGTTTCTATGCAATGAAATTTGACAAGGTACATTACAGAGAATGGGTATTCTTATTTGAAGTGGCTGTACCTTCTTAATTGTTGCCATGATTGCAAAATATGCATTTTGGTCAGAAAACAATTATTTATATTTTCAATCAAAAAGGTAGCATTACCGTGTAATCTTGTAAATACGCCTTGCTCTTGATCCCAAATGCATTTCGGAACAAATTCAATTGTTCAGTGACGTTACTTCAAGAAAATACCTGTAGTTTTGTTTTCCGTTGTATATCTAACAAAGAAAATCTAAATGTGGGGAATACATAAAGCACTTATTTGGCTACCTTAAGTCATCATCATTTTAAAAAAGCGGACCGACTATGTTTTCTGAAAGTTCGACGTTTTTTTAAATGAACATTTCACAATTTTCTATAAATACAAAATATAACAAAAAATTACTAAAAAAAATTGGGTCTTTTCAGAAATGTCGCCGTTTTCTTTTTCTTTATATCTCCATTTGAGGCGTCTTATCTGCTTGAGCCGCTTTGTCGTTGAAAAGCAGCTCTCAATGTTTTATTCTCTGTTTCATTAACATTTGATATAAATAAAAAGCAAGTAAAAAAGAAGCTAATTTCGGCCGGATCGAACTTTTAATACCCTCCTCCATTATGAAGGAACTTGAACTTGTCATAGGGTGTAGTAACCATTACCAACTTTAAATGCGAAATTTTAAACAATTCCGTTAAAAAATTTCGCTCAAATCATCAAAATAGGGAGTATTGGGGGTCTACCGTTGTATGGGGGCTACTCGATATTGTGGACCAATATAGAAAATTCTTTTCCAGGATGTAAAGTACTCAAAAGGAACTATTCGTGCGGATTTTCAGACCATTCCATTAAAAAAAAAATTGGATACAATCATAAAAATATCAAATATTGGGAGAAACCGTTATATAAAGAATATACGATAACGCAGACCGATATAGGCCATCTTCAAACTTGACCTGCCTCCAGAACAAGTTGGTCTAAAATTATTATTTCGATGAATTACGAACGGAATGGCGAACTTAATATTTAGATATTTCATAATTAGATATCACGAATCATGGTACAATGAAGAGAAGGTAGGCCAACTTTGAAAAAATTGCAAGTATAGAGGTCTACCTGTTTGGCTTGTAATGTCAGAATTAGTATCAAAACAATAAAAAATCAAACAACTTGTTGCATTTATTTTGAATAAATAATTGAAAACCGCGAAAACAGAATGAAAGGTCAACACTTCTTTTCAAAACCAGGTTCTATATATCTCTAAAGGATTATTTCGCTACAAAAACTCTAGATTTTTTCGAT